GGGAAAGTAGAAATCATGCATTAAATCTTTCTTGACTGTCTCAGAAAATAGCTTCCAATAACTTTATAAAGTATTAAATAAAATTAATATGGAGTAAAACTTATTTGTAATCTAAAATAAAAATAAATTAATATGTATAACATTGACTATTATATTCACTGGTATCTCAAGCCACACTAATAAAACCTGGGTACTGGAGCATAATCTGATATTAAAAATAAATAATATTAGATCACACAGTTGATCTTTCTGAGCATTATTCACAAAGCACCCGCACGTATGCATATAAACTACCTTTAGACACTAGAAACAACCTAGAGAAAGAGTTTTCCAATAAACGCTTGGAGGCTCAAGCAGAAAATAAGCCAGTTGGTCTTGGAACCTGAACCCCAATATTCACACTGAGTCCAATTACACACTTTCAGGGACTTCAAGGCGTCTTTGCATAATCCTCATACTATCCAAGCCTACTGCTTGCTGACCAGTCAATTCTGCCGCATAGCCACCCTCAGGACAAAACAGAACTGTCGCATTGGATTTGCAAGACTGTAAATCTTTACAGAATCAGAAGACCACATCTTTGTTCCTGGTGGGGTTGAGGTGTCAAACGTTTTGGGTGGCAGCCCAGTGTTTAACCCACTGTGCCAGTAGGGCTCTCGTCACGGAGTTAGACGCCATCAAGTCCTTTTGTTCAACAGAAGGACACACTGGCCCATTCCTGCACCACCCTCAGTACCCGGAAGGAAAGGGTGTTACGTTTTTGTTTTCACCACTTGCTGTTGAGACGATGCTGCGACTCTCAGTGGCCCCACGTGTACAGAGCACAACTGCTCCCGTGAGGTTTTCCAGGATGTGAACTCTCACAAGCAGATCGCTAGACCTGGTTTCTAAAGACCTTTGGGTGGGTTTGAACAGCCACCCATGAGGCTGGAAGCCAAGCACTTAACCTTCTGCATCATCCAAGGACTCCAAGAAGGTGCATTCCACATGTGATATGAGTGGAAGAGAGACACTTAGAGACTGCTTAAAACTGCAGTGAGGGGGACCGTGAACAGTGGAGGGCTTAAACATCAGTAAAAAAGCCTGTAATGCAACACTGACATTGAAAGATCCCATTCATCCCATGCCCCCAAGTTCTCATGACCAAATCACCTTGGCTGCCTATCCTTCACTTCTGCCACAACTGCACTCCAGCGTTGGTTGAGACCTGCCAGCTTGTCCTTCAGGAAGCTTCCATTTGTGGAGGAAAGTTTCTGCACAATCCCATCCCCAGTTCTGTTGAGTGCTGCAAAACGAGGCTGGTGGCTGCTGATGCCCTCTTCCAGGTCCTGCAACAGAATACAGCCTCCCATCAGTGATGCTCCTTTACACCAGTGGTTCTCAACCTGTGGGTTGCGACCCCTTTGGGGGTCGAACACCCCTTTCACACGGGTCACTCGATTCATAACAGTAGCAAAAGTATGGTTATGAAGTAGCAAAGAAAATAATTTTATAGTTGGGGGGAGGGATCACCACAACATGAGGAACTGTATTAAAGCGTCTCGGCATTAGGAAAGTTGAGAACCACCCCTCTACACTGTTCCCATAGTGGAGTGGTGGCTACAACTTGTTAGAGACAGAAAGTTTGGAAGGGTAATTATTTACCCTTATGTAAAAGACATTTTGAAACAATATAATTACATTTCAGAGAAAACACTAAATGGGATTTATTTTGAAATGTTAACCCACCCTCATGAATGTCATTGGGTAAAACATGCTGAAACAAGATGGAGGCGGAGGGGGAGAAGGGAAGGGAAAAGGAAAAGCGAAGAAAAAAAAAAACAAAAAAAAAAAAAAAAAAAGAAAAAAAATTGAGAGGAATGAACAAACAACTCTAGTAAAAATAAACGAACGAATGAAATAAAAACAAAGAAAGCCAAAAAAAAAAAAAAAAAAAAAACAGCTACATACAGCAAAAACAAGCATTGAGTGTGATTAAATAAAATGAATTACCGATCTCCAAACAAAAAACAGAATGAATGTATTAAGAAAAATAAAAAGACCATATACCCCCATAAACTCTTAGGTCCTACCATATAAGTGAGTTTCATTGCATATTCTATTGAGACATAGCTTCCCTGCTTTACAAACTTTTTAATCAACAGATTAAAG